GTGGAGGGGGGGGGATAGGGTGTCTGCGATGTCTCCTGGTGCAACTAGATATTGAAGGATTAGTTAGTTTGCGCTTGTATTTCCGTCTGGGTTGATTTGCGGGGGGGGGGGGGATGAGTCAATTTTGCTTAGACAGCGGGGTTATTGCTCAAAAATGAAACAAAAAGAAGAATATCTGAACGTGCAAATTAATTTCTTCGGTGTTCTATGAACGTGGGCTGGGGATGTCCCCATGGCACCACCCCCACTGCCTTCACTTCCTCCAGCTGCTTTGTCCAGCGTCATGGTTCTGAGGCGGTTGAAACCGTTCCAGATCGATGTTGGAGGGGTAGACTAAGTAAGGGGAGGTTAGGCGCATCTAACTAAAACATTGGTGGTTGTATGGATTGTGAAAAGAGAAAGTCTATATGGTGATTTCAAATGAGCAACGGGTATAACAGGGCAATGTCTATGGTTGGCAGTTTAAGGGAATGGAGGAAGAGGAAAAGGGGAACGAGAGGAGGAGTTGAGAAGTTGAGAAGTTGAGGATAAGCCGGGGATAGGACAGAAAGTTTTGGTAGCAACGTGACCTTTCCCAAACCTGCGGGGGCGCTACAGAGTACAAAGTTAGCTACGAAATATACATGTTGTAGGGCACTACAAAGACAGCAGATATTTCTCTCTTGATAATAATTTCCATTTTTTAGGTTTATAATTTCTTCTTTTAGATTTTTTTGGTGGTCAAGCTTCTCTCTCCCCTCCTGGCTTTTCACCCTAGCTATGATTGAAATGGTACTACCCAAAATCAATATTTAATCAATCATCAAAGAGTAGAAAAGCCAAAAGAAAAAGAAAACCAACCTGACCATCATGTTTGTCTTTTGTCCAGCCAGAGAGAGGAGAAAGGAGAAGAAAAACCCCCGCCCCTTTTTCTCCTCTTTCTGACCAGCAACAAAAAACAAACCAGACTGGAAATCCAGATGGTTCGTACCACCTGGTCCCCATTGTCTTGTAGAGAGTAGAGATGTGTCTATCGAAACCAGAACATTGTAAAAGAGAAAAAAAGCAAAGCAAAATGCTGGAAAGGGAAACCAAAAAAAAAAAAAAAAAAAAAAAAAAAAAAACAAATGCAATCACCCATATGCAATCACCCCCAACCCGCATTCAAATAAAATAAAAACCTCCTTGGCCAAACATGTTGATATCTCTCTGACTTGATACGCCTGGTTAGAAAACAAAAACAAACATGCAAAAATAGACAAACAAACACCACCCAAGACACGCTTTGTATGTATTTATGGTAGAGTACATGCGAACACTTTATTTCCCAAAACGCCAGCTTAGAAAAGAAATCAAAAACAAAATTGAAAATTTTTAGGGGTATTTTGCCTGGTTGATGAACAGTAACAAAAATCAGAGATGCAATTATTTTTTCTAGGCCAGACAAAAATCGGGTCCAGCCCAGTGTTTTAAATCTTTTGATATATGTGATGAAATGGACCGAGGATTAAAAAAATAAAAAATAAAAGTATAAGGTAAGGTGAACATAGGAAAACAAATCACGAAGGAAGAACGGTGGGGGAGAATTTATAAAGAAACAAGCCCGGCCCGTTCATGATTTTTTGGTTTTGTTTGTTTTAAGCCGACGTCACGGCCTGGGAGCTGCCTGTACCGCCGGCGCCGCCGCCACCACCGACAAGTTCCAGCACTTTCCCAGTGACCGCAGACGGGTATCCGCGCGACAGCATCTCCTGCACAACACCCGACGCACCCTGACGATCTTCCGCAGCCAAAAAGGCCCTGGTCATCGCTTCATAGGTGCTGGGCTCGCGCTTGCTGATGCCAATGCCATTATACACCGACAGCGCATTAGCGATGTTTCCATCAGCCGCCCAGCCGTGGATGAGCGTGTTGGCGATGTACGGTGTCATCTCGACGTTGCGGCTGACCATGTGCTTGAGCAGCTCGGCGGTTGCGGACACTTGGTGGTTAGCCACCATTGCCTCGAAGAGGGCTTGGTAGAGGCATGGCTGCGGCTGGACGTGGCGGTTTGAGATGACGGAGTCGAAGATCTTGCGCGCACCGTCCATGTCGTGCATGACACAGCCCTTGGCGTGGATGAGAGAGGCGAAGTGGACGGCTTCGGGCCTTTGGCCTTTGGAGCGGATAGTGTCCAGCACTTCCTCGGCGGCTTTCATGTCGACGGGCTCTAGAGAGGCGTAGGCATCGATTAGGAGTTTGTAGGTGTGCATTGTGGGCTGGATGTTTTTGGTTTTCATCCGCTCGTAGTATGCCAGCACCTTGGAGCGGTCACGTTTCGTGTTGAGGAAGTACTGGATGATGGAGTTGTACGGAGCCGGGCGGGGTTTGTAGTTTGGCATCGATTCCATCTCATCGAACATCTCCTCTGCGAAGCGCTCATCGCTGACTCTGCAGAGGGCGTTGACGATGGTGCCGTAGGTAACGCTTGTAGGTCGGATTCCATTAGCACGCATCTCGGCAAAGTAGAGGAGGCAGTCATCAATCCGACGAGCTTTGCCAAGCTTTCCAATCAGTGCATTGTAGAGGAACGATGTGGGGTCAACTCCTTCCGATATGGCGCGGTGGAAGATCTTAACGGCCTCCGTCGCTTCATCGAAGGTTTTTGTCGACTCCTTCAGGGTGGTGATGTAGAGACCGAAGGTATTGGCAGACGGTGCCGAACCGATGTTGTTAAGCTCCTGGTGGTATTTGGCAGCCTGGCCGCGTTCGCCAAGCGTCAAGCTGGCAGCAACCATAGCGTCGAGAATGGATGTCCAGCCATATTTGACGACCCTGTAATGAGGAATCAGAGGAACGTCGTGCCTAGCCATACTCAAGATCTCCTGCACGAGACTCATGCGCCCACACTTTGCAGCTGCGGTGATCAACTTGGTATAAGTGATATACCGAGGATGTCTGCCAATGCGGCGCATATTCTTGAATTTAATCATGGCATCATTGAGGTGGTTCTCCACCCTACCACTCGTGTTTTCTAGGATATCAGCGATGACAGCAGATCCACGGAAATCGGTAGCATGGGCATATGGATCGAAAGTGTCTTCGGGGGTCGTTGGTTTCGTCGCTGGTGAAGGCTGGGGGACTGGGGTGTATCGTGCCGGTACAAAGGTAGCGTTAATGACCGGGGACTGCACATAACCACGCCATCTCTGAACCAAATCTGGGCGGCTGTCAGTGATCTTAAGGACAGCTTGCTCAAGCACACGGGATTTGAGTGTGTGTACTGGGATCCCGGCGGCCAATGCAAGTTCCAGCATATGGGCAAATCGTGCTGGGTGGGCAGCGTCAAATAGATCAGAGGCATTGACCAGCATTGAAGCCTGAACTTGAAGAGCAAGTGTCAGGTCTTGGATGCTCAGCTGCGAGATACCCGACGGACCAAGGCTGGCAATGACGTGCTCTGCTACTGGTGAAACCAGTCCACCATTCTCGATCATAGCCCAGATTAGCGTCATGGAGGCGTGTGCCGAGAGAACAGTGGAAGACTCGATCATGACGCGCCCGAGGAGATCGATAGTTTCATCGATCTCTTCACGTAGGTGACCCCGGGCAACCTTGCTGTCAACAGACTTCCGAATACGAGCGAACATATTCCGAGCTTCCACCAGGCCTTCCTCGACTTGGCTGCTCTTAAGAAGGGCAACCGTATACATGGCGGTCGGATGGATAAGGTCCCGAGTAGCGTGGTTTGTCGAGGAGAGGACAGTCCAGAATGGTTTCGCTGAGGCAAGGCTTCCCTGGCGGATATGAAGAGCCAGCATTGCAGAAGCGGGGCCCATGGCGACGGGGGATTCCAGGGGAAGAAGATCGTATGCTTCGGATGCAACGGCGAGATTACCCGAATCAGCAGCAGCCATACAGATCTTGGCCAGTGCTGATTCAAGGTTGGGATTTGAAAGATATTCTCGAGCGGTTGTAAGGGCCTCCGAAAAGTTTCCAGTTTTGATTGCATGCTGCATCAAGCCATCCTTGACAACAATAGCCTCAACGATAGACTTTCTCACTTCCCGATCCTTCACTTCATCGAAAGACGATCTAATCTTATCGAAAAATCGGAGAGCGCCAGCCTCTTTACCACAAGAGAGATAGGCTTTGATGAGCGCGGCATAAACCTCAGCGTCCTTCCGCTCGATAATTCCAAATACACCACTATCGTCAGCAATGGCCAATGCTTTGTATTCATTATAGCATTCCACAGCACTCTTCAAATCACCGTTTGCGGCAAATGCATCAATCATGGAAGGGAAGATGGTTGCGTGCGGGACAATTTTGTGGGTTTCCATATGGGCGAAAATCTTAATCATTTGCTCCACCTCCCCTCTCTTTGCACAGGCAGTTATGAGAGTGCAGTAAGCTTCCAATGGGAACATAATATCGGCATGGTGTGAGATTGCAGCAGTGAAGAGCTTCAGAGCAATCGAAAGAGAATGATCCTCAACTAAGAGTTCATGCTCGGCCTCGCTTGACTGGAATATAAACTTGCCCTCCTCTTCCATGCCGCCATAACGCGCTCGCTGCTCGTTTAGAGTCTGAATCGACTGGAAGGTTTTTAGGGCGCGGGATGCCAACAGCTGGACGAGAATAGTGTATGTTTGTTCATTTGGCAGAACGGTACGGCGCAGCATATCCGAGTAGATATCAAGAGCCTTGGGAACAGCATGGTAGATATCCGCATGAAGGTGGATAGCGGCCTCGAGGAGCGCATTGTAAGCTCCAACAGTCGGAACGAGGCCATCCTTGAGCAGACTCTCGAAAGCACCGGGTACAAGGGAATATTGTTTGGTATCTGCTAGTTGCATTACACGGCCAGATTGGGCCTGGGTTTTTTTCAATGCTTCGATGTCCTTGGAATTGGAGGATTCATCAACCTCAAGAGTAGGCTCCTCCACGGAAGATTCTGGAGTTGGCTTGGATGAGGCCGCCTCGGCTGACTCGACACTATTCGCGGATTCCGCGGTCGAAACATCCGGTTCCTCCTCCACCTGCGCAAGAGCCTCTGCATCATGGATCTGTTGTATTTCTCGCGCAACAGCCTCATCAACCTGCGCGCTTACATCAGCATCGACCGCGACACTCTCAACTCTTCTGAAGTCTCGAGTTTCCTTGATATCATGGCTGGTGATATCAACAACGGTGGTGTGCAACGAGGAGGACGCGGAGACATCCTTGTTGGATTCCGCACTTTCCTCATTTTCCTTTGCTTCCTGCGAAGATGGCTTCCAGCCAATTCTCTTTCTGAACTGGAACTGATGCCAATCATTCTCATCGCCATTCTGTTGAGCTTGTTGCCAAGCTGCGTAGTAGGCAGCTAGGCCGGAGTCGCCACCAGCAAATCCTGAAGATGCATGGCCAGCCTTGGAGCTCGCACTCGAGGAGCCAGAGGGGTTTTGGAAAGCACTCTGGAGCTGGGCAGTGCGAGTGTATTTTGCGGGGAGATTCGTAAACTGGTTGAGGGAGGTGTTTGTAGACGCGTAGGAGGATTGGGACGCGGCAACAACGGACTGAGCGTAGCCGTGGGCAAAAGTCTTCGAAAAGGCTTGACGTGCGAGGTGGGTGAATGGCTTAAACACCATTTATCTAGCGGGGGACCTCTTCAGGGCGAAGAGGAGATACTTCAAAAGATGGGTTAGCAAAGAAAGTTTTCGAGGAGAAACATTTCAAAGGTGGAAAAAAAAAAGTTTACCTCTGAACTAGGATGGAAGTTAAATTGCACGTTCATTTGACGACTAACCGCCGTCAAAGGAACACGCTGGACTGGAGTGAATTAAATAAAGAAGGGGGGTTTAACAGAGAGGACAATGAGCAACTCGTCCAAACCGGCGTCAGCAATGTTGGGAGATGTATCTGCAAAACTGATGACGAAGGGTGTGATGATATATATATTGGATAAGGGGATCCTTTGGGGGCAGCATATGGCAGGCCCTCCCTCTCGCAAATAATATAGAGGGGAGATGTGAAATTGAGAGACGTGAAATTGGGAGTCAAGAGTGATGATTGAGGGAAGAGAGAAGAAGAGAAAAAAAAAGGGCGAGAAGATGTGAGATATCAAGTCGCTTGCGGCGGAGGTTAAAATGTATTTTTTATTTTATTTTTTCTTCCTTTCAACAGGCCTTGCGATCTGTTCCGCGATACCAAAGTTACCAGGAAATACAGCAAAATTACCAGCCGAAAAGCTCCGTGATTGGGCGGCCTGGCCCATGCCATTGCTGCGTCTGTTACCTCGTGACTCACTCAGGGTCGGAAGCCAGAGAAACACGTAAAAATTACTCCATATGGAGTCAATCGTCATCATTATTATAAGAACAGAGGATATAATTTTAAAAATACATGACGCGGATCAGCGCCGACATTCAAGACTTGTTGCTGGGTTCCCTAAAGCTAACGCGGACATCGACAGCAATGAACAATGGGACCTACATAGATTTTGCCTTCCATACCGCTCGCTGTACAGCAGGTACTCGGTGCCTGAGGCCGTAATACGTGCATTGTTATATTGAATAATATGCACATTACAACACATTTTACAGATGCTTATAATAATAATACCAAGCATATGCCTGTTCCCTGCACATGCCTGTCCGTTCCCGTTGGAAATCTCGAGAAGAATAATTTTTCACAACCACCATCATACCATACAGAGTAATGTTGCAGCCTGAGAGTTGGCTGTCATGTCATTGGTCATTGGTCATGGCCTGGCAAGGGGTCGAATTCCCTCCTAGCCCAGCTGGGACAAGCGGCTAAATCTCGGATAACCCGGACTCTGCATCGGCCAACCGCACGCTTGCTCTGGTTTGGCGCTGACTCACACCTCGTCCCGGGTCTTTTTCTTAGCGACGGCAGCTAGGCCCCGAACAGCTCGGGTTGCTCCCCGGCGAATTATGTCATTGGGAGGCTGGAGCCCGATTCGATTTGCTTTCGTTCTCTCCACGGACCGACCGGGGTGCGGACGGAGTGACGTTTTCCCGATCAGATCATTATTATTAATATCCATGTATTTTCCACCTCCCCTAGAGTAGACAGAGCAGATAGAGCAACAGCCTGTCCTATCCCGTTTCTTGTTTGTGTTGACTCAAAAGGGGCCCCGTCGCTTGTAACTTTGTAATAAGAAGACAGACATGGAATAATGTCACTGCAACCGTGGCTTCTTTGTTCACGACTATTGTTATTTGGAATCCCAGGGCCTGATTTGTGTTTCGAAGCCAAACTGCGCTTCGCCTATATACTCGACTTTACTTGACTACGCTGTCACTATCACCAGCTCATTGGCTCTCCCCAACTGATCGCCTGGAAGTTATTTGGAACCCGCAGCAAGGGAGCGGCAGAGTGTAACATGGGCTTCAAATCACACAAAAAAGAAAAAAAAAAAGAAAAGAAAGAAAAGAAATATAGTTGGTCTTCTAGAACAACCACCCCCCCTTTGAGGCTAGAGGCCATTATTACGAGCTCCGCGGGATTCTTTCGCTCAAACTGCGCCTACATACTAACCGTGCCAAGCGCACTCACTCTCTCTAGTTGAGTGCGCCCCAGCGTAACCGTAAAGGTACCTTTTGTATGAGTTCACCATACAAAAGGTACTTATAGAAAAACATGAATATCTTCAACATCATAATAGATATGAGTCCTCTATTATAATAGAAGTATATGTATCATATTCTAAGTATATTATTACAATATGTTTTTCTAAATAAAAATATATCTAGAATGAAAATTGCTAAATTTAGCATAGTAGATTTCAAGGATGGGAGAATCACTTATTTTTATTTAGAAAAGAATATTATAATATACTTAGAATATGATACATATACTTCTATTTTCATCTGAAGCTCATATCTACAATAATGTTGAAGATATTCATGTTTTTCATAGAAATGAAGTTAGGTATCTTTTATATGAGAATCACATACAAAAGATACTTATTTTAAAATATTATGGTTGCGGTGAATATTACGGTTACGCTGGGGCGCACTCACTAGAGAGAGTAAGTGCGCTTGGCACGGTTACTGCGTAACTAACTATTTATTTAGCCTTGGCTGGCTTTAGCCTTGGCTGGCCTGGTCCTTTCCCCGGCAGCATCAGACCACTTCTGCTGAGTACCGTACCGTGCGGCCCAGAAAATATAATATTATTACAGCAGGAAGTCAGGTCAGAAGACAACGTCAAGTTTTTTTTTTTCTTTTTCTTTTGCCTTTTCCCTTTTCCCGCCTCCATTTTCCCTTGGATGAACCCCCCGGCCCCACTGCTATGAAAAGTGACGAACTCCGCCCGGGGAACCCACAAACACACGGCCACAGGCTCCGCTGAAGCCCGCCCACCCAGCGATCGGCTCCTCCTCTCTGGCCATGCGGGATCAGGCAATCCCGAGCGTTTGTCGACGGGTGTGATGATGATGATGATGAGTGGCTCAAAGGCCAATTCGCACATGCACATGTCCCATACAAAGTACGTAGCATACGGGCTTCTTCCCGTGGCTTTTTAACCAACATGAAATGAAAAGCTTATATGATCGAGCTGGTATTATTCAGATTGAGTTGGAGCTTCGGAGTAACATAATTTCTAGGAGCCCGAGGCCAGCCTACACGTCCCTGTACAGTCCGATCTATCTACGGCGTAGGTGGGCAGACAGCATCCGCCGAAATAACTCTTCCTTTCGCATAATCTGCGTAGCCAGCTGCTGGAGCGCTGAGTCGGGTTTTTCAGACAGAGATCGACTGCTTCGAATCCCTAGAACTTAACGAATAATATTTCAAGCGCGCTTTGTCTAGGCTCGGCAGACAGAAGGTTCTTGAGGCTGTCAATTCCCGCACTGAGCACTTGACAAAAAACAGAGGGAAGGCTCTTATGTAGTCTATTTTTAGAGTGTATATGTACAGCGTAGGCGCCTATCTTTACCCCCTTCTCTCTCTTTCAGGTGAGGAATGAGAGGAGGGAGGAAGAACCTAACTCGAGTCACAGACCTATTTACCTATCTACATGTATATGCCTATCCAAGCGCCCGCTACCACTCCGATTTTCTTTTTTTTCTTTTTTTTTTTTTTTTTTTCCCTTTGTGCGCGTGTAACCGGCCTGATCAACAAACGGGTATTGAATCTGGCTCTTGCAATCCTCATTTGAAGAACATGAAAGATGGGAGCGTTACAAAGCCCTGTCTCAGGGTTACCGCAGATGGGCCCGCTATTATTACAAGTGCGATGGGTGCAGTGTTACGTACATAGGTAGATACATGCCTATGTAGGTATCCATGTTAGCCTTATAAGAACATCAAGCAGCATGTCGATTCCCTGTTGTTATTTTCTTGGGGATGAGGTTCTCTGCTGGTGGGACGAAATGCTGAAGGTATGGATGTGTTGGAAGGAATCAGGGTATATCAAAATTGAAGCGGTTGATGTAAAGTAAGAAGGATCGCAAGGGGATGATGTTCTTGCTAACTCAATAGGTTAGCTAATTGGATCTTCGTACTCCGTAGGGAATATACCAATGAATGCTTGGATCGTATTCATGAATATTTTACTCATGGTTTGTATGTACTATCAAAATCGCGGTTGGATCTGATAATGCGGCGCTTAAAATATAGATATGCTAACCGCATTAGGAAATCACTTTTTATAGATCCATAGATCCAACTCCCAACTCCCAACCTCAGTCTCCTGCTCAAGTCAAAAATGTGGGAACCGGTGTCTCTCCCCTTCAAGAGCAACTCCCTGCCAGCCCATCTCCCTCTACCTACTCCAGAGGAAATCCGATCCTGCCCTCACATTCTAGGGCAGCGCATGAACGCCAGGATCGTCAAAGTAAATGATGAGATTGTTGTCAAATTTGGCGGCAGCATCAGCGCCTGGGAAGGTCAGGCGTTGATCTATCTTGAACAACATGTCCCTACCGTTCCCACCCCGCGACTGTATGCGATGTACTATGACTCCGATCAACTTTTCCTGGTCATGCAGTGTGTTCCTGGCGTACCACTTGACTCTATATGGCCATCGTTGACCGAGCCTGAAAAAGTTGGCATGGCCACTAAACTCCGCCAGATATTTGATGCCATGCGGCAAGCTGAGTGTCCCTGGCCCAACTTTTTCGGAGGCTTGGATGGTACCGGTATCCATCACAGCCTATTCTACAGCCGCAAAAATGGAGATCATACGTATCTGGGCCCGTTCCATGGTGGAGCTGCCTTTGCAGCGGGACTCGCGGGAAATTTTCGAGCCTTGGCTGAGCGCAATGGTCGACCGGACTTCAAGGTCCGCTTATATGAAACCCAGCTTCCGGGCATGCTGCAAGATTGCCGGCCAACATTGACACATGGGGACGTTCAGCAGAGTAACATTATGGTTGTCGAGTCGAGCCGCCAGAGTGGCCAAGGAGATCGATCATTCGATGTGGTGCTTGTGGACTGGGAGAATGCAGGCTGGTGTCCTCATTTCTGGGAATTCTTTTGTGCATCGTCGCTGTTTGATACGCGCTACTGGGAAGAGGAGTGGTGCTTGCGGGTCCAAGAGTTTCTGCCAGTGTCTCTCCCAGAGTTGGCGGTAATGCGCATGCTTAACGAAGACATGGGCCGAGGATACTAAAATGACAATAATGACATAAAAATATACTCTCTCTACCTGGATGCTTTCTCGCAACCCCTATCTGCGTCGCCGCACTCAACCTGTAATTCATTTAAAGTATGGACACGCTGCCGATCAATGCTGGAACTGTGTGCCCACCTAATTCGCCCATTCAGTACGCTTGAAGACGGGCCCATAGCGCTCCCGATTCTCCCCCGTCCAATGAAATTTTCAGCCACCCCCACAGTGCATTATATCAACCTTGCAATCCTCCTCGCGCAGAGATCCAAGCGGATGAATAGATGTTTCAGTGACGGTTAGAAGCTTCCATCGATCCTCAGGGCTTCTGCGAGCGACGTTACGTTACTGTTTCCTACTTTTCCCAGTGGACCAGACAAACCAACACGCAGCACGCAGTTTACCATTATCAGCCGACACCTGCCCCCCTAACTGTGCCTCCTTTGCGACAATGCTTTTGTAGCGGGGACTCTTGGTGTACTCGCGGTGCCCTTGTGTGCTGTGGGCCTAACTGATGGTCATTGTGGCCCTCAGGAGCGCCGAACGCCAGCCAAGGATGGAAATGGAAATAATAGATAGCACAACAAAGCGACGGTGCCCGTGGCTATATGTGTTAGTATACTCCTACTCGTGTGCAGTATAGCTCTGTGACCAGGAGGCAAGTGACTGCATCGTATCGTATAGAAGCTAGGAACTTCCCCTGGGGGGGAGTGCATGTTCAAAATGGTGTGATTGGATGCCCATCTTCAACTATTGGCATATATCATGTATCTTAGTATTGGTACCGCCGGGTGGCTATCATAAGTTCTGCTTAGGTAAAGCTAGAAAATAGATAATGTATTCAAATAATCATAACAGGTTGATGCATGGACAGGAGAGGGGGGTTTCCATGAAGTTTGTAGATTTAGTAGGGTACTTGACGTGTTAGGGTTTGAGATGGGAGTGGTTGGACATGTGGAGGACAGCAGTTTTCTGTAGGGATAGAGCAAGAATATCCAATTGCTTTCTTTGAATCACATTCATAAAGAATGGTTATTTTATTCTCATCTATATTACTGTTCTTCTTGCCACACCAACCAATAACTAGTTACTCCGTACTAAAGATAATAATAAAAGTTACGACAACACCGCCAGCGGTGGGAACAACGACGGCATAACAGAAAAAGCAAATAAACATTCCAACCAACCGCTCAATTTATAACAGTCATCATCATGAGCAATTGACCAAATTGATATGGCACTTGCCGATCTTATTCCAAAATCCTATCATATTTAAGCAAAGTAAATCCCCAGGTGAAGCCCTCACCCTATGGATAATTTAACTTCTATTTCTACCCCGGCTACCGCCATGAAACCCAATACTTAATTATTATTGTTGGTGCAGCAGTGTAGCAGTTATAAAAAAACAATTACACCTCCACAACCAGTGAACGACTCAAGTCTACAACAATTCGTCGTTCAAATTATTATTACAAGATACCTACGTAACCTACCTCTCTGTCCTGTGTAAATACGCCCTTCCACCATCCACGCGCTAGACAACCCTCCCTCCCGCCAACCAACACATCCCTCTCCACCGCCCGCCATCACTCTTG